AAGTTAATTCGAAATACATTTTAAGGTGAGGGAATCCGTTAAAATTCCAGTTCACCCGTAGGCCCTAACAACCCAAACTGTCCCACATAATAGAACTGCCAAGATGAAAACCTATGAACAAATTCCTTCAGCATTACAAAGCACATCGTCTTGCATGGACTTTGCCCACTAGTCTAAAACTGATGTATTTATGTTAGAGCAAATTCTTCCTAATCATAATGGAAAAATAACATTCTTTTGACTATCATGTCCCTATGCCTGTGCTTATTCTCATCTAATCTCACGCCCCTATGCAATAATGCAATATCCTTAATTATGTCAATATAATTTGTGTGATATACTCATACATCATTCTCAATATATATCCACCAAAGTACACCCATCGCACCTTGGTCATGTGCCTTCATAATATCCAAAAATAATCATGCACAAAATCTTCTCCTAAAATGATATCCTCCAGAAATTGTATGAAGCTTTTTTAGTTGATCTCCAAAGTATAGACCTGAACTAATTCTTTGACACCTTCACCACTTCCTCAAATCTACAACAATCATACTGCTTAAAGATGTGACTTGTGTGAATTGTATGCCTCGTTAATTTAAGAATTCACTAATTTAAAATCTTGCTCTTGTCCATAGCATTCAGATGTTGTACATAACTACATACTACATACTACATGATCTCCAGTTTCTTATTATAAACATCATGAGCTTATAAATACTTCATAGCACTTCATTTATCATACTAAGTTAAACTACCTCAACCATGAAATTCTAACATCCCCTCCACGAAAAATCGAAAATACATACTGGCAAGCTAATTTCATCAAACTGGTCAATCACATGCAGTGATTGAATTAATTTCTACCGTACCGCTACCGGCATAACCTTGCTATAATCTTAGCAAAAATCCCACTCTTGTAAACACTGTAACACACATTATGGTTGGCTCAGCAATAGCAGGCAACGAATTATATCAGTAATACCCACTTATACTTAAAAAGTACGACTGTATGTGCAACAGGGGAGCAAAAGCCAAATAATCGAGAGTATTAATCTGATAAAGTTCAAAAAAACCCTAATTTTTGCAACTACGTCTTGGGTTTGCTAGAATACTCATCCATAGCTTAATCAAACACTTAAATGATAATATTCTCACTCAAATCACACATTATGCCCAAATAACAAAGCATATTACAATCTTTCAACTCTCTAGAGTAAACCCTAATTTGAATAAAAAATACAATCTTCCCCGAAAAAACTACACCACCCCAATTAATTAATGCCGAAAATCCAAACAAATTTCAAAATAATTCAACAAGGTCATGATCTCAACCCAGAAGATTAAAAAATTGCACCAAATATACCAATTCAATTTCGAATTCAAACCGCCGAAAATCGTTTCAAATTTTTTTTTTAAAAATATGAAATTAAACAGTGAAATATACCTGATTTGTTTGAATTGAGTAAATAAAAGGGAAATTGAAAAGCTTGGATTTGGAGCTCGAATGATTCGTCTGTAATCAGGTAGGAAGGATTGTTGTAAAGAAAGCGAAGCAAGAAGTGGGTTTTTTTTTTTTTTTTTTTTTCGGTTTTGTTTTTATTTTATAATTTTGTGTAAAAAAGACTGGTTCTTCTCTTCTCTAAGGGCGAAATAAAAACCCCGGGTAGTGCAACAGAAAAATGAGGAGAGAGAATGAGGGTTTCCAGATCCCTTTAATTAAAATAATCTTCCTTTTTTTTATCAAAAAAAAAAAAAAAAAAATCTTCCTTTTTAAAATTCAACGATGTATCTATGGTTAATTTGGTGTGCTAGTATATTACTCCGTAGATAGTAGTCGTTAAATATTCAGTTCAATTCAGCTTAGTTCAGTCAATTATGAATATTCCCTAACTAGACTAAAACTATTTTTTTTTTTAAGTATTTTTAAAACAACATTTTGAATAGGAAGATTGCAAATTGTATATAAAAAATAAAAAAATAAAAAAAAATCCCATCTTTATAAGGTTGGCATATCGTGTGATCATTTGTAAAAAAACAAAGTGGCCCATTAACATTGACCGAGCAATCCTTATAATACTAACGAAGTAACTCATGTGACATTGACTGAGTAACCCTTATAACACTACCAAAATAAACCCCATGATGGTCGTGTGGCAAGCCACATATAAGAATTTGTGGGGAAAAAAATAATAACTATTGTGCAAAAGAATAACAACCCAAAATACAAACTAAAACTATATCAAGTCAAATGAGAAATGTCAATGCGAAGCGGTTCCTCCTGCTGTAAAAATCATTGTTCGTTGATACTCATATTATGGAGGATTGGAGGGTGTTGGTGCTATCTAATATCTATGGTGTGGTAGTTAAAGATGTTGAGGGGGCTTATTGTTGGTTGCTGTCAATAAGACTAATGCGACATGGATTTCTAAATTGGCCGAGGCAAGTGTTGCGACTTACGATGTGCAACTTGCGAAGGTTTGGCGATGTGGTCTTAGTTTGTGATGCCCCGGGTGTTGTGAATGCAAGTACAAAAGGAGTTGCTCCCATCTATTTGTTCTACAATATGTTGTTCTTGCTAGCTTATGGACTTGTTACACATTAGAAAATTTATATCACAACACCTTGTTTTAGGTGAAGAGAACACAACCTTGAACTTATCACAATTGTACTGGCTTATGGACTTTATTAGACCTAAACTAAGTGTCTAAGTGGTAGGAATTGGTAAGGTGAGGTAAACAAAGTTTAATTTAATTATTGAAGTTGGATTTGCCACAAATAAATCAAATTACCATTTGAAGATACCATGAAAAATAGCCCATGTGATTTGGATTCGATATGCATAGGAAATCTCCATGTAAAATGCACTAAAGCTACCATCTAGAAAATCACATGGTAATCGGATGCATTTATGACAAATTCTAAATTGGATACATGACAAATAACGTAAATATTATCCAAAATGATATCTTAAAATTAAAAGCATAATATGTTACATGCTTGACTTTTTTGTGCCTAATATTTATGGTCATTTTGGATTACTCGCTTCATTACTCTGACTAGCTAGCTAAGTGGAATTAATGCACGGTTAGCATGTTAGTTAGGCTTAGGCTTGTATAAGTTGTTTGCTTGTTTCATTTGTTTGTCATAACTAATTGTTGTGTAATTAAGTATGTGTGGTGTTAATTTTGTTACAATTAAACGTTATGTTTTTTACATACTTTGATGCAGATTTTTAACAATAAAATGCATGAACTTATTTTCAATATACAAAAACATTTTAATGTGTGCATCGCGTGGATTTGAAACTTAATAAGTAATTTGACAAGAAAAATCATGAACTATATAGAACTTAATTAAGATCTAGAAGTGAAATATTGTTTTATTGCGTGATTGACAAATTCAAGAAAAATCACATTGGATAAGAAATTTCATTTTTGGAAAGATATTTCCTAAAATTCAACTTTTAGCTTTACATATTCAAACAAACAACATTTTTCAGAGTTAAGGTAATAATTAGGGACTAAAGTTTTATACTTTTCACCTTTTGGGACCTAAACTTTTTTTTTTCACCGTGTGAGACCCGTGGTTAAATTTCAAGCCATTTAACCCATCTGAAAAATTTGCTGACCAACTTGAGCATTAATTGGAGTTATATATATATATATTTTTTTTTTTAAAAAAACAATTCCAAACCAAATAAACATCATGAGGTATTGGGTGGTGAGCATTATCCTTTTCGCAGGGATACATCAAAATTCCAAAAGTTATGTTCTATTTCTCATTAGTTAGTATGGTTATTGGTTCGGTAACTAAAACCCTGCATCAATGTACAATCATTTGATTTAGTTTGAAACGGTTAACTAGTTCTTCAACTGATCGTCTGATCCATGAATTATATAATTAAAATTATTAAATATGAGAATGTAGTAAACTAGTTGCCTAACTTTTAACCTTTCGTATCAAAACTATATACTTGGTAATTCTACTAGTGGTGTGGATGTTATCTTGCCAAACTATATAATTGATAATTTTACTAGTACCATGTTCGAGAATTGCAGAGCATAAATTTGACTAGGCATAAATTGACCCCAAACTGTAATTATACATTTTCAAATACAAGAACAAACAAATAAATTCAACACTATAGCAACACTAATCGTCAATTTTAACATCAAAATTCATGAATACCATAATTTTATTTTTCTTACAAAAAATCCCTAAACCCAGCGATAACTTATAAGAAAAAAAAAATTGAAGTAAAAAATTTGTACAAGATTAGACAACTTACTTGTGTTAAGATGCTTAATATACCGCTAATTATCTGCACTAAAATCAGCTTCAAAGCTTCAATTTTTTTTCAAAGGGAGGTTGATGATGAAGGAGTACTCTGATGAACAATGAAGTTGAAAAGACACCTTTTTTTAATTTTTTTTTGGGTAAACACGGTTACTTTTTTTTTTAATTTTGGAGAAACCAATAAAAATTCTCTTTGCAAATAAATTAAACCTAAAATAATTAGTGGGTCCCAATGCTTAACCATAGTTAATCTATTTGTTTAAAATACTTTCTTAGGTCCCAAACGGTGAAGGAAAAAAGTTCGGATCCTAAAGATGAAAAGTATAAAACTTTAGTCCCCAATTATTACCTTAACTCACATTTTTCACCTCAATTTATATACATGGAAAAATAATTCTTCATAAAATTTCAATTCACATATATCTATAACCACACGGATATGTTATAATCACCCTCACAAATAAGTTTAGTACTCCGTACTGTCCAATCTGATACTCCGTAATAAGTGTTAGGCATGTAGGCATGTTCAATATGTTTAGTAAGGTCCAATCATCCTCACAAATAAGTTTAGCTCGAATTACAATTCATGATTATTCACGCAACATAACACGATTAATTAACATTAGTGATTTAGTCCGTAATTAAAAGGGGCATCTAGCTATGAAGAATCTAAATAACTCCCGAATATCCACGATTTCATTTCAAACGTACCACCAACTGCACGACAACACATGGAATCAAATAATGAAATAATGGACACCTTCCTATAAAATCAACCAACATCAACCTTCCTTTATTGCGTGCAAGAGTTACCAACAACACCATTTCCTTCTCCGTCAACGAGCAATGGCTTCCTCTTCGTCCGCCATTGTTATTCTTTCTCTTCTTCCCTTTGTCGTCTTCGTAGCTGCTTCTTCCGCAAGCTTCGTCAATGGCGATGACAGCCTCCTAATTAGCAGCAGTAATCAAAGAGAGTTCGATTACTTCAAGTTAGCTCTTCAATGGCCGGGTACCTACTGCCGTAACACTCATAAATGTTGCCAAAAGAATGGATGTTGCCGAAAGTAATTATTCTCTCCTTTTCTAATTTTTGATTTATTTTTTTAAATTTTTGTTAATGATTATTTGTTGCTACTTGATTGTGTTCGAATTTGGTTTAATTATTGAATTAATTAGAGTAATGTTAATTTTATGTTATTGATCATTTAATAAACAGTTTTGATATACGCAATCTCAAGGCTAATTTGTAAGCATTAATTATATTTCACACAAATACTAGTGCTATTAATTTAGGAATTTATTTCTTCAATTTTTTTTATTTTTTTTTTGGAATTTATTTCAAAGTTACGCTTAATTGTAGGCTTCTTCATAATAAGTGCAATAATTTTAAATTAGATTATAATTCCAATCAAGTCTAATAAGTGCAGGTGAGTTAAGCAAATTTTAGGTGAATTAGGGGAATTTTTGGATTCGAGACAATGTATTTTTCGGATGATTAAAGTGCATTCTATTCAATCATGTAGAATTGTTGATCGAGCTTGTGATTGTAGTTGATATACAACGAGAAATGTACTAAGAGTTATCGTTATTTTGGAGAATAATCCATATGTGTCTAATACGACTACGAGCATAGATTAGAGTATAGTTTATATTTTGTTTGCATATTGAAGGAATTAGGGTTAATATAGGATTAGCTTGCATCTTGAAGATGACCGGTAATTAATACGTAGTAGCTCTCTTGGCACGTAAATTGATGCAGCAGTTTACAATGCAATAGCTTATTTGTTGTGGACTTGTAGCCTTAAGTGATGGATGAAGTGGGAGTATCAAGTTTAATACATGAAACAATGCCTGGGAGTTTTAGGATTTTAAGAGCTGTTAAATTGTTTTTAAAAACGTTTAATTGATTCCATTTTGTGAAGTTTATAAATTGACAAACTGTTTTTGTATTTCTTTTCTTTCAGTTCCGGTGCTCCCAAACACTTCACAATCCGTAAGTTTACTGCAATACCATAAAATCTTCATTAATTCTAATTATATACTCTGTATATTATTTATGGATAAAATATGCTTAAATCTGTGCAACCTGCAGATGGCCTTTGGGCTGACTACAATGATGGAAGCTGGCCTTCTTGCTGCACCAAGTCTGAGTTTGACGAGAATGAGGTATATTATCTTCAGATATGATCGTCACGGCTGTTCAGTTTCTTATAATGAGTTTCTAAAACCTTCTGCTTGGTAGATCTTTCTGATCATTTTTTATGGCAACATGAAATTGAAGTGCATCTTGTTTAGACTCTTATGTTACTTGTCGAATTGATTGTTGTCATGAAGCGTCTTTCTTCCTCTATGTATCTACTTCTCACCTAAGTTGTATGCGAAGGAAGTAGCCAAGTTACAGGTGATATGTTGTATTGCAATTCACAATTGTTTCGAATGTAGCTGGGAATCTACTTTCAATCAAATTCTAGGAAAAACCCTCCAGAAAAGAAAGTAACAGATATAACTCATATAAGTTGTAATTTACTCATGTGTACTCAAGTATGTATACATTGTGCTATGGTGGTATTGCTGTAGGTACCATCATAAATTCTAAGATGGATGCATGCACAGCTTAAATTGCTGCCTTCTTTTTTGGTACATGATTCTGGCAAGCCTGGCATGCATTATTTACATGGTGTTAAAAATTATAAATATGCATTCTATGTTTCTAAAATGAAATGGACAAAGATATTTTCTTACATGACTCTTTCCTATATTTTCTGGGTTCTAGATATCAACATTGCGCAACGCATTGGATGAGTATTGGCCAACTCTAAGCTGTGGCTCACCATCATCATGTTATGGACATAAAGGCTCCTTTTGGGGACATGAGGTGGTTATTACGAATCCATTACTAATATCATGAACTTGCTTGTATTTATATATATATATATATATATATATATATATATATATATATATATATATATATATATATATATATATTTTTATTATGTTTCTAACTGTGCCTCTCTTTTGTATCCTTGTGGTGCCTGTTTGGAATGATCAACATGTCAGTGGGGTAAGCATCTTTGCCTTCTCATTAATTCTTACTCCAATTTGTGTAAGAGATTTTACATTTTTTTTGGACGAATAACTAGTAAGTTGGAGTTATGCTGAATAGAGAGATTTATTAGTTTTTCCTTGTGAAGAGTCCAAAAAGTTTCTTGGGTTCAAGGTAGACATGTAAGTTATCCGTCTTTCTTGTGTATTAGAAGTAATGCAATCATCAAATGTGGTGATACACTGATACTTGATGCTCGTCCTTAAAATCTCTGATTTTGCTGCAATTACCTCAACAAGCAAGAGTCTTAATGGAGAGAATCGATTTTAATGCTGACATGGGCTTAGTCAGAATATCCACTTGGGTTCTAAATGTTGTTTAGTACTGGATCAAATATAGGAATCATACTTAAACAAAATCATGTTCTGTCTCTTTGGACTACAATGGATTATAGCAATTATTTTGTGAAAAGGTCTTTTACTTGTTATCATGAAGATCCAGGTTAATCCCTTTCCACCCTAGGCTTTATAAAAAAAAACTCACTTTGTAATGATAGGCATAATTTTATGTAGATATAGGTCCCTTTAATCCATAGGCAAGCCTTGTTGGAGGCTGGAGAAGCACATGGGTAATGGTCTAGTATGGTTTATAAACTATGACCAGGTACCTTTGTGTTAACATATTTAAATCATGAGGACATGTGATTAATGTCTTAGCTTGTAATCTTTGAAATTTAAATTAACTTGTTAACCTAACATTTTACTTTTACTCCTTTATTTGTTGTGGTATGTATCTCAGAAAAGCACGGGACTTGCTCTTCTCCAGTGATACGAGATGAGTATAATTATTTCCTGACAGGACTCAGCGTCTACTTCAAATATAATGTCACGGTGAGTGCTTTAGAAAATATATTCAAGTATTGAGAGATTTCCTGTCCCTTAAATTACATATGCTGTACTGAAAATCCATTCAAAATTTCCTTATTCTAAATGGTATTTCTTTTCTGCTAATTCAAGTTTTTAGCCTATTAATTTACTCACTAATAGATTTTGATGCACAATTGCAGCAAGTTCTGTTTGAAGCCGGATATGTGCCTTCAAATACCGAAAAATATCCGCTTGGTGGCATAATTTCTGCTATTGAAAATGCTTTCCACTTATCACCTTCAGTAGCTTGCTCAGGTGGTGCTGTAAAGGAACTTTATTTGTGTTTCTATAAGGATTTCAAGGTTAGTTCTGATTATTGTATTCCTACTTCAAACCTCTATAGCTGTCTCATATCAATCTGCTACATGTGAAAAGTTGTGTTCATGCACAATTTTCCTAGACTTTTGATTCTAAAATTTTATGTTCCTTTTTATACTGTGGTGAAGGAAACAATATTGGCCATAGTTCTTAGAAGATTGGTAGAGAAATTTTACTAAAGTGCCTATTTAATTGAAGTTTCCAATAATTTTCTGCCTTCTCAAGTTATTGTATGTAAATCTCTGTATATTTATGACTTTCAAGGCCCTTTGGGAGCCCATGGAAGTACCGGGTGAAAAAATGATATATGGAAGCCAAATTTGAAGGCTATAATACCAATGTATAAAAAGGCTCAAGGCGCACCAAGGCGTTTTGGAGTACCTTGCGCCTAAGGCGCGCCTCATTGAAGTGAGGCGCATATAATAAGAAATAAAAAAATTCTGAAAAAAAAACATTTTGTGCGTCTAGGCGTGCCTCTGTGCGCCTTAGCTACGCCTCATTGAAGTGCCTCCCCCCGACCATAAAAAGCACACGACCTCTAACGCCTAGCGCATCAGCGCCTTTTCAAACACTATATAATACACGAAATCAGAGCAATGTAGGAGGTGTCAGGACCCGGTGTCAAAAACCACCCAATTGGGATGGTATTATGGTCCATGGTAAACATCTCGGCAATTTTTATTTCTCGGGCCCAAAAAAAGTAGAAAATTGCCAAAATTGAAGACTATTATCCACTCTTTTTGAGCAATTTTGGAGGCTTCGAGACTCGGTGTCGGAAAGTCTTGAGATAATAGGTGATACGTTCCGGGGTCATAATACGTCGTTTGGAACCATATATGATCATTATATATTGTCATAAATGTCCGTGGTAGGCTTGAGTGTATGAAATCGGTGCAAGTTGTAAAATGGTAAATTGTCCGTTTAAAGGCATATTGGATGGTGTTACCCACCCAAATAGACTCCCAGGGTGTATTAGGGTCCATGGTAAGCATCTCTGCAATTTTTGTTTGTGGGTCCAAAAAAGGTAAAAAATTATCCAAAATTGAAGGCTATAATATGATTTCGGGTCAATTTTTGATATTTTTTCAAAAAATAAACTGAATGCGTGGGGTGACTCTTGGGGTCATAACAGGTGGTTTGAAACCATAAGACACCTATAAAGATGTCTATAAAGTACCAAGAATGAGTTTTGACTCTTATTTCGAAAATTCATGAAATATAATGATGTCATATAAGTATAATGATGTGATGTGATTGACTATAATAATGTCATATTAATATAATGATGTCATAAAAGTATAATTAAGTGATGTGCCTCACGTGACAAGTATTAATATAATGATGTTATCAATCTCTTTCATCCAGTTCTAACTACAAGGGTTTAAACTTTTGATGACATACAGCCTCGAGCTTGTGCAACTGACATTAGAATCAAACAAAAGGTGGATTATTCAAAACACTCATGTCCAAAGTATGTCAGCTTACCAACTTATGATTCTTCAGGTAAGCTCTTCATATATATTGTTGTATATTATGTATTGGTGTATTTCCAATTGTATTGTCATGTGGACTAACTGAACTCTCTCATTAAACTTTTATTGCTTGTTAAGTAGCTTAGTTTGCTGCCTTTTTAATTCGAGATTATGTAGAAGCTGCCTTTGTTGGGGGTAAGATAGCACAATATGACTCATTAACTTACCTCATTCTTGGCGGGGGGCCACTTGCAAATAAGACATGATGAGTTTTAGTATGGCTTTGTGTTTTGCACTATACTCCTCCTCTTTCCTACCCATGTTAGTGTTAAAGGCTTATCATCTATCTTTGTTAATCAATATTGAACTTAAAAATGTGGTACTCTGACCTTTGACTCCTGAGGCATGATTATTTTCCCTTCATGGTAATTTACTTTCAAATAGATCTCCCTTTATTCCATTACTAATCTTTTGAATGATATCCTTTAAATTACAGACTTTAAGCAAATCAGTCCATATTTTCTGGAACCTTGGCCTATCATTGGTATGCTGAATTGATTAATCTAGAATTGTTTGACTAGCTATTTAGTAGGACACAGAGAGCTGATTGCCAAGCAAAACAAGCAGCTCTATTTCTGTAGCCATGTCACTGAAACTATAACCATTATTGTTCTGAGCTTATTTTGGGTACATGTGTTGGGTTGATTTATATGTGACAGGTTAATCCCCTCCCCACAAGTTATAACTTAAACCTGTGTACCAATCAAATATGAACATAATTTCGCACAAGTATGTATTCTGACAAGAGTAAAATCTTCTTGCCTATTAGTAAACTGATGGAGTATAGCTGTTAAGTGGATGGATGTGAAAGAACAACACATAATCATGACTAATGAGCTAACAGTTCTTCAATTCAATGTTAAATTAGCATCTTAGATTGACAGAGAATGTTAAGGATTCCTCATTCTGAATCTCTGTTAGTTGATTCATTCATATGTTTTTGCATATGCCAACTCACTTCCTCAAACAAAGTTTGATATCAATAAACTCGGTTGTATCATGCATGTGCAGTTGTTCCAAGTTCCATGCTAACATCAAGTGTTTTGAATATCAAAATCTTCTTCTGGACTTCATTACTGACAATTTAGTCCGTGATGTTTGCATATACTGCAGGCCAAGTAATTACAGTGGAACGCAGAAGTTGGATCCTTGTTTTGATATTCATCATAATCAGCTTATAGTAGATATGTATCCCATGATTTTTATAGTCGTCTGCTATGTCAAATCAATGAAGTAGCAACTCAAATTTTGTCTAGACAGATACAAGGAATTCGAAATTTTTAACAGAAGTTTTTAAAATTGGAAGATCTGGTTGTTGATGACTATTATTTCAATCAAGTTTATGATTTTAACTTGTGGTGTTGTTCCATGTTGGGTTCTATACTTCTATGTACAATATGCCATTGATACCTTAGTTTTTAGTTGATTGTGAGGTGGCTCTGGTTTTCTGCTAAAAAGCTTCATTTGTCATTGAACAGGGCTAGGAAATGCTGGAGCTTATAAGTCAATTGCAATTTGATACGGAAGGCTCTGCCAGATGCAGTTGGGTTATCACTTAAGTGCTGGGACTGATCCCTCTAGCATCCAAATTCATCAGCCAAGTCCTGCAATCATCCATCGGATATCATATTACTTCGCGTAGCGGAAGTTCTCATACAGGGCAAGATTTATCCTTGTTGTTCTTGCCAGTTATCAGAGTCATGCTGCAGTCTGTTCACACGTTCAGTACTTTGCATACGATCACTATTCTTGACAATTATTAGTTTATCACCATACAAATATGTTATCTGTGTGGCCTGAAATAATGTCAATGGCTCTTGTTGTAACACATTCATTTAGTCTACTTTTACAAGAAAATGCTGTACAAAATATTGATGCGAAGCTCTTTTCCTCTTAGTCCTCACTTCTCTGTTTTCTCTCCTCTATTCTCCCTTTCCTTTTACTTTCAGATCTCTATTTCTCTATTATTTTTCCTATAATAATCAAATAAACATAGGAATCTCTTTTCACAATCTTGTTTTCCATTGAATATAGTTATCTTTGAAAAATGATTTCCTTGAAAAATGCATACAATCAAAACAAACGAAGCCTTAGGTTATTTTGATTATATTCAAATACTAATTAACAATTCTGTATCGAAAATTCCGAATGAAACTTATTATCTAAACTACTATCTACATATAATTAAAAAGTGCTGTATCAATTAGTGATATGCCAAGTGAAATCGCTACTACTAAAGTGGCAAAACCAAAAACTACATACCAAGTATTTATAAGAAAATACAAGTTTCTCTAAGTGATAAACAAACATTTTTGTAAATTAATCAACAACTTTTTCATTATTATGGGTTCTATCGTTGATAGTGATTGGATGAAATTGTTGATATATTTTCAAAATTGCCACCTGATAAGCAAACTTGCTTATTACTGTGATTAATTGGGGCAAACTTTTTTTTTTTTTTTATTTAATTAATTACTGTATAATATAGAGTAGCAAATTAAACTAGTAAAATCGGTTTTACTTCGTACTCAGTATTAGATATCATAAACTCATAACAGCGCGATTAAAAGATTGTCGTAATTTGACGGTCCAACCAATTGACGGTTGGTGTAGTGGTGATTGGGACTACACTTGGTAGGAGGACCTGTTCGATCCCCCGCAACTACAATTGGGAGGAGACTGGAACCTAATCATCCAGACCTGTTCTCCGATTCAGGATTAGCCGCAGGGTGAACCGGGTAGAGCATTCAAAAAAAAAAAAAAAATAATTTGAAGGTCCATGGTTAGAGCTTCATTCGGTAATTCCCGATTTCAGGAGATCAAGGGATCGATTCTCTCCGTACGACTATTAGGCTCTGTTCTCATACGTTTATTTTCAATTAAGCTCAACTTAGCTAAACTTTAGCTGAGTTTAGTATATGAAAACAGGTCCTAAAACACAAAAAAACAAAGCCAGGACTCAAAATCACTCCTATCTCCCCTCCACTAGTAAAACCCTTAAACCCTAACTCAAAAATCAGAAAAATTGAAAACAAGATTAGGGGGCATAATCAAACTTCTCAGAAATTGAACCCAATCATTCGCGAGGTAATTAATCGTTTTTGAATTTATTTTTTGTTGATCTTTACATTAGCAAGCTCTCTCAATCAAACTTTCGATTTTTTTTTTTTTTTTTTTTTTTTTTTTTTTTTTTGGGGGGGGGGGGGTGTTCAATTATACTATTCTAGTTGTTGGTTTAATTTTTCATGTGAAATTTGCGCTTATATTGTATTGAATTGTATTTGGTACATGTGCAGAAGCAATAAGTTTCTGTAATTGCGGTTTTCTTCAATTGAGCTCACATGAAAATGTACATTTTCTCACTCTTAATTAGTCATTCATTTATTCTAAATCTTAAATTTGGTTTATTTTTATGCGTATAAAGTGTCAAATCGTTGCAAATAATTTGAAACGGACGTAGTAATTATAATTACTACTTGGTATGAAAATGGTTGCAGCTTAAAGATCAATGCTGGCATTCTTACTAATTTCGAAGTACTCGATTTATTACATTCGAGAGGGGCTGCCAAGGATCCTACCCGGGCCATGGGTTTGTTAAAATCGTCTGAATTCAAGGTTGATACTTTAGCTTTGTTCGTTTCCTTTTTTTTTTTAAGCTGAATGCCGTGTTTTTGATTTCGTGATATGGAGACAATTATACCTACAGTTGATGTTTGTTTTTACAATTTGTGATTAGGTTTATGATTATTTGCTTGAGAGTGCTGCTTGTGATCAGACTAGAGAAAGTATCAATGATCTTATAGAGAAATTTAAAGAGTATCAGCTACCTAAAGCTGAGCTGATCAGCATCATTAACAATCGCCCCTCTTCTGCAGTCGAATTGGCTCCGGTACTATTCTTTTGAATATCTTTTCTCAATTTTGTCTTTAAATCTTCTACATCATATGGTTGTAATTGTTTTTGCATAATTCTTCCATGTCCTTTGCTCGGCTATTACTCTGTAAATGAGTGTTTGCAATCGGTAAATGTTGGTGATTTTTAGTTGATGTTATTTACCTGATAATAGGCTGATAAGGTTGCATGCGCTCCGAACTGTTTTCATATTGCCATGGCCTCTTTATGTTAGGTTTTATTTTATGCAACCTTGAATCCTTGATATTAATAGGTCGTGTATTTTGCAGTAAATTTTACATATTCTAATAAATGCTTAGATTTAGGATAGAGTCATTAGCAAGTATTAGCTGTAGGATAAGCATTCCCTAAATTTCACTTTCTAAGATATTGAAAAGTAAGCTCCTAGATGCGAGTTCTTAGTCATCTAACGATAGACCTCAAACAAAATGATGTTTTGTATTCTTATAATTTACTGTTAAATATTCACGTACACTGCAAACCCTGACTCGTTCCCATTCAGATGAACTGTTGATGAATTAAAGGAGGAAGACTTATAATGGGCACTAATGGAAGATATTTATATTTCACTGAATGTACCCATAACAATAATTTCTCTTTTCGAATTTAACTAGGAGAAATTACTGAATGTGCCTGGAACAAGAGTAATTGCTCTTTTCAAATGAGCTGTTGATGAATGAGGGAAGACTAATTCATGAGGTTTTGGCATTTGTATGTCCTTTGATGATTTATACTTAAAAGTTCAAAGTGTCTTAGAGAGTGAGGTGGACTGGTCCCGATTCTCTCTAGAGTCTATGATTTATGCTTCACAGAGACCTCTTTAGTTGTTATTTTCACGAGGTAAAGAACTACAGATAAGTTAGCTATTCCTCAATTCAAGTTTTTGATACATTTATTTTTTTGCTGGGCTTAACAACTCATCAAGTCAAATTTAAATTTGATTTCTCTTTCTCCCAGCTTTTTATTTTCTTTCCCTTATCTCTATTGAAAATGAACCTAGTGGTAGATGTATCCTGGTCCAACTTTAGCTCTATGCTATGAGAAACAAGCTTTACTTGATTCTCTCCGACCGCCAACTGCAGTGTAAGTTACTTCCATGAATGTCAATGTGTGAAGTTTAGTTCAGTTGTGGAGCCTATAGTTTCTTCGAGGCTCCATATGAGCTGGATTTCAGCTTTTTCACGTGTTATCATGGCGAGGATGAATTGTATGAAGACTGATTTTTTATTATTTCTTTCATTGCTCGACTTTCCTTCCCACTGAGCTTATTCAACAACCTCTCATCTTCATCCTAGAATCCTGCACCTCGCAATAGATAATGATCTTGGACTTTAGCTCATGAAGATAATTCATGGCACCCCTCAATCCAACACTAAGAAAATCTATGGCTTATGTTAATTCAAAAATCCTTAAGTATTTGGCTTGGTTTTGAGTTTGAAAAGAAACCAAGGAGGAAGATTTAGAAAGATAATGTAGAACTTGGAAACCAATCTGCATGTCATCTTCTTACAAGTACAAAAAGATGACTGGATTGTAGTTCATTCACAAATGCAACTAAATAAAGATGGTTTACTCTTGAGGGAACCTCCTGGTTACTATGGTATTATGTCATTGACTTCGACATTAATCATAGCAAGCCTCTGTTCTAGCTGCAACTTATTATTATTTTTTTAATAGATTAATGGTGGGCAATTTAGTTGTGACGCCAGTCACAGGTTTACAAGTTGGTTAAGTCTATGCTTATGGCCTAGAACACATAGGTGGGGTGGGGAGAGAAAAACCTTGCATAAATGTTTCTGGTTAGATCTGAGTTTAAGGTGATTTTGAAGACCATCTACTCCTTCTACCAGATTAGCCCTTGCTAGCTGTGCTGGCTGCAAGATGTTAGACAGTAAGAGCTTTAAACAAGCTCTCCGAATAGAGTGGAAAATTCATTTCCTTATTGAAGAGGTGGATTCTGACTTTTCTGAGCAAGATATCTTCAAGTAACTGGAATAGAATCATTAGAATGGCTTCTTAATATCCCTTTTGTTGATTACTGATCAAGTTTGTGATGTTTAATGCAGATGCCTTTAGTTTGTAGTATTTCATATTATGTAACTTCTATGGCTTCACCTTGAAAGTCTTTTTTTCAAAATTTTCTTCTTTTTTCTGCTGTCTGTTTCATCCAGGCAGTGCTTGTGTTGTTTCTTTGATGCATTTCTGAGTTGCATTCTTACCATAAGTTTCCTTCCCTCTTTATTTATAGATCATTGAGGCATTGGAACAGCGTAATTGGAATGATGATACGTTGGATGAGATGGCAGAGCTGATAGTTCAAGTGCTGCCACCTCGTCCGGACCAGAAAAATACGAATGAGGAGGGAACTGCTGAGGATAATGGTGCACAAGCGACTGATGAGAATACTATTGCACAAATGACTGATGAGAATAATACTGCACAGGTGGCTGCCGAGGATAATAAACAGGTGTCTGATGGTGATAACGGAGAAGAAGAGATGGACGACAGCTGACCTTTCCTAGATGCTTAGATGAATTTGTGCAGATTTTTTTGAATTGTTAGTTAACCACTTTCTAGGTTAAGATTGGATCAGAATGCATACATAATGAAATACTTTTCTTGACACAACAGTCTTTAAGCCAGTTTCTTGTGTCATTAGGTAAGTGCCAATGTGTTTTCTTGTTAGTCCTTTGGTTACACACTGAACAGTCCCTTCTATCCTTGTCTTCTACTGTAGTTTCAATCAATGTATTAATGCCATTGGCTATGTTCATACAGTCATACCCACAAGGTTGCACGATACAAGTTATAGATTTTATCAAGTAAAAGGGAATAGAATGGCATCAAAACATTCCTTTCCGAGGTCCTTCAGAAGCATTTTTAGTTTTTATGCAGATAGCAACAAAATCTGCAGTATCAATTTTAGATGATGCCTATCCTGTTTCTTTGTTGCATTTCCGAGTTCCATTCTGTCATTATTATCCCAGAAGGGTATTTCCTATTTTGCTTTATAGATACATTGGAACAGTGCAATTGGGATGATGATACGTTCAATGAGATTGTGAGGAGCTGCCGAGCTAATGGTTCAGGTGCTGCCACAACCAGCATTATGACAATGGAGCTTCCAAGGAATCAAGGATGTTTCTGCACTAGTGGGCAAGTTGATTTTTCTGTAAGTCTGTAATGCCTAGATGGCTAGGTCTTCAACAGTATTATCAGCATGGCACATTTATCTCAAAATTCGATCTTTGACACTAAATAATAGTCAAATCTAACAATGAACATGCTGAGAAAACAAAAAAAAAGTTAACTCAAATGGCCTACTTTCAGCCTAACTAACAAGTCCAACACTTATACTTGCATAACCTCTTATGCTACTCTCTTTGCAAAAAGTATTCACTGGTTAAATGGCATATAGTTTTACAGCTTCAAATAGCCATACTTTTACAATGCCAGAGGCTTGTTCCTCGGTCAAAAACTGAAAATCTAAGCTACAAAATTTCAAACATCTTTCTAACCATCCCTAGCCCATGCTATTCACATCACAGAAGAAATGACCAAACTTTTTTTAAGCAATATATGAGTATATCAGGGAAAATTCACTCTGCCAAAACTTCATTTACAAGGACAACACGGCATCAGTAGTATCACACTTGTTTAGAATCCAGTAGAATTTTGGTGAATGATACCTGAGGAAGTGAGAAGAAACCACCACAAAACTGTGAGCAGCATTCAACAATAAAAAAAGACTGGATAAAGGAGGAGAGAAATAATGAGGAAAGGAAAGAAAGTGAAAAATCAGAGTTTTCTGAGAATATTACAGAAGTAGCTAGATCTAAAAAGATGTGTGCTTTATTGAACTGTTCTTGCCTGCATCCCGCATACCAATTTTCAGTAATACACAAGTAGATGGTGATAGACCCTGTAGAGCCGTACCATCCTTATCCAAATCCGTATATTTTGTGAAATTCACAAATTTCTAAGGAACAAAGATTTGCAGAAACAAATTAGGTGGTATCACTCCAATCATCATAAATCTGCTCCATCCATTGTCTCAAACAATGTTTTGATAAATGTTCTGGTAAATCAACCTGAAAAACCACCAGATCAATAACATTATCATGCCTGATAAATAAAATTATCAGAAATTAATAGACCAACAAAAAATAATAAAAATCATACCAAGCTCCAAGAAGATGAATAGCCATCAGTAGAAAGCAACCAGCTTATAGAACTAGACTGGATACTGAATTTATCATTTGAATCGTCAAGGTCAAGCAAATCATCATCACTTAATTTATCACAATCTCGGTTCCTTCTCCTTTTCTTTCTTTTCTTTTGCCTCCTTTTATGTTTAGCATTAGTTGTAGATTCATCACCAAAGTCCAGTTCATTCTCGTCTGAATTTCCATCACGTTCCATGCCATATATACCAGATTTGCGAAAGCCAATGTTATTACTGACAAACAGTGCTTTCCAGGATTCAGAAGTATGACCTTCCTTAGACAACCTGTAAAGAAGGCTCCATGAAAGAAGGCCAAGCCATTTCATCAATTCTATAGTCTTTGAGTTTAATTGTCCCTTGGAAATCAGGGCCAAACTCTTGGCTTCACTTGTATTTGTACAGATCTCTAAAGCTAGATCACTAATTCTAGCCATCTCCTCAGTCCCTTCAATATGTACCAACCGCAGAAGTAGCCTCCCTTTATTAAACAATGCATTCAACAGAAATAACTGGTCGATAGATACTTGGTCACCGCACTTACATATCACAATCTCTAACCAATAAGATGTGTTATCAAAATTCAGTGGTCTCTTTCTTCTAGTAAGAAGATCGTGAAGCATCAGAAATAATGAAGATAGGTCCCGCTCATCAAGAATGATTAGAAGATGTTTACAAAGGTAAGAAAAAGATTCATCCATAAAAAACTGGCCAACAACTTCCCAAACTTCTTTCAGATTATCTTCATACATTAAATCGAGGAAGTAATCTATAAAGAACTTAGTATCAACTGATAATATTTCACCATCTTTTAAAGACTCTGAAAATTCCTCTGACGACCAGAACTCAGGTACATTTTCTATAAAATTCTCCACTGTGCGTTGAACATCCAAATCAAGAAAATAGTGAGGTTTTGTTGCAACAACTGCTGGTGACTGACCATGTTTTCCTTTCCATTCAAGCTCTTCCCAACATATGTCCCTGTTTACAAAGGCAAACTGTGCCAGTGACTTTGCACCCTTACCATGTGCCGAATCACCCACCAAAGAAAAAGTTGAAAACCATTGCAAGATTCGTTTTGGATTTCCTGCATTGATCAAATATCATGCCACAGTCAGAAACTTCTGTAGAGTTTAACAGCAAAGACTTCCAGAAACAGCTCACTTTGCCTCATTTATAAAATAAAAATAAAAATAGAAGTAAAGCATTGATAATAGCAATAAATTGCGGCATGAAAACTATGGAAACCGGATGAAGGAGCTATAATAAGTAGGTAACTACTAGTCTACTACACAGTAACAGTAAAATCATATCACATAGAAATTACTGATCTAAAAACAAGTACTTTAAGCAATAGCATAAAGTACAAGCAACAAAACTAGCTTACCTTCAAAGAACTTTTCAAGCCTGTGACATTTCTTAGCCAAAATTATCCCAGCTTTCTGTGGTCTCCTCTCAAAGAGCATTTGAAAGACTTGAGAAGCAATATCCCACTTACGAGGCTTGGATTTCAACAACCTCATAAATAGGTCACGCTGTTCGGGTGGGGTGATTGAACTTATGTTAGAAATAGCCTCACAAAGCCACAATCTAGCCTCTGATCGGCCTTCAGAGGTAATAAGTCCCCATAAGATCTTTTCCAACTCGTTGTAGAGGGGCATTCTTAGGTCAGCGGTATCAGAATTCTTGTCATCACCCCAAATAGGTTTCGATAAAAAGAGTTCAATCATCATGCACAATAAAGCTGCCTATAATTTTGATATGAATTACACCTCTTTTATCATCTGCAACAAGAATGCACACAATCACTCATATGTTGACATGTTGTAGGATGCTCGGTCATGATAATTATTAAATTGTTCCCAGACGTATTAAGTAATAAGCTTGATTATGGTATAAACAAAATTTTGAAGTAAATTTTCTTCCAAATAGTACTAGTGGGAAGTTTCTTGGCAGAAATAATATACTAAAACATCATACACAGATTTAAGTAACACCTCCCCTCAAATTAAAATCAGTAAAACAATGGTAGCAAATTAGCAATGCTTTAAGTTTTCAGCTTGGACTAAGGATTTAATTCTCATGGATGGATCAATAACATCAATTGGCGCATATACTAGTTTGGGTTGTTCGGAAATTTGTTCCATACGGAATTAACAGTCGCATAATTGGAATAATTTGTTCAATAACATCAATGAGGAAATGAGTTAAACTACCATGGTAAAGAAATAATTCGTTCCATACGGAATTAATAGCCACATATACTATTTTGGGTTGTTCTGAAGTTTGTTACATTTTCCAAAACCGTGACAGTCTAAATTTGAAAGTTCCAAGAAGCCCGAACTTAAATCAGCAATGGAGAACAGTGTATATTAACCTAACTGTTAGATACTAAGTATAATTTCTTGCATACCAAAAGATTCAAATCCAAAAATCGAATAAATAGAGTTGAACAAAATCAACAAATACAAAAAATTTCGTACTACAGAAGATGAATATGAAGACAGTATAATCATGAGTATAAGTAGAATCCCATATTAATCAAGAATTCAAACAAAAACTCAAAAATAAATTAGAAATTTGATTTGAGCTATGCAAGCCAATGTAAAAATTAACCAAAAATAATTTGGAAAGAAAATACTAAGAGAAAGATTAATACCTAGCGAGTAAGTGATTACGATTTCTGGAAGAGTTTGAACTTGCCCTAGATCATTTCTTCTCAATTTGGTCTTCAATTTCTAAACTTGGGGGAAATAGTGGGAAAAGAAGAAGGGTGCTCTTTCGCTCTTTCTTGTTTCTTCTTTGGCTTGTGTTCTAATGGTAAAGTGGTAAACACATTATTTATTTTTAATGTTTTTTTGTTTTTTGGTTTTGGTGAAATAATTATTTTTGAGGACTAGGTGTAATCAAATTTTGTCCTGCCGGTCGAAAACTCCTAATCTCGAAATAGCATACCCAAACTTGTAAAAATGTCACCAAAATGATTTATTCTTTCAGGTCGAATTCAAACTTTAAACTAAAAATATATTTTTAAGCTTTACCTAAATATCTAAATATATGCACTTATTTGCTTTGTTAGATTGAGCTAGCGGAATGAGCCATTGATGATCACCTTTAGGGCCAGCCGCCAGGCTTGCCAAATGACCCAAATTGTAAACTAAATAGCCAATTGAGTGGTATAATTTGTAATATACATCCGGGTGTACCGTACACTCGGTGTTGCTCATTTGTTGATTGAATGAGTAAATGACCCCGAGTATACGGTACACACGACACGGGTGTGCACAGGTGTACATAATAGGCTCTCATTGAGTGAAGGGGTCAACAATATTTAGTTTTTTTTTTCAAACTTTTAGTTTCGTTAAGAGCGTAACCAATGGATGCCCAAGCTAATGGTGGTCATCATATTTTTTATTTCTTTCTCTCCCTTCCACCTCATTTATGCCTAACTTCCATGCCCATACACTCACATTGGTTGCTCTCCAAATTTGTGGGCATTGATTCTCCTTTCCTTCCATTTCCACGTGAGTCTTCATCAATTGAAAACAAAAAAAAAAACTAAACCTCCTCTCTTTGTTGAACAAGTGGTGAAATACCACTAAATGCTCACACTTAATAAATGGTCATGGCCATGACCTGGTCATGAACCATTTCTCACCAAAAGTACAAATTTTTCATTTTTTTTAAGCTTTTTATTTTTTATTTTTCTCTCTCTTCATGCCCATCCAAAATAGACAACCATTGGCTTTACTCTAATTATCAAAGAACTCAGATTAAATGTGTAAAAGAAAACCTATGTCAATGTCCATAGTAAATTAGGGATATTTAAAACACTTACGCTTTGTTTGGATAGCAAAGAAGGAAGGAAAAGAAGGGGAGGGAAAATGGAGGAAGGGAAGGTAAAAGAAAGGGAGGGGGAGGTGATCTCCATTTCCCTCCAAATCTCTCCAATTTTGGAGAGATTATGGTTATTAAATAGAGAGGGAAAATGAATCCCTCCCTCTCCTTCTCCTTCCTTCCCCCAATCTTTTACCCAAACAAGAGATTTTGTCCCCCTCCATTTCCCTTCTCTTCTTTTCCTTCCATTTCTTCCTATCCAAACAAAGTGTTAACCACATTTTTATTATCCATTAAAAATTGATTAAGGTCCATCACCATTTTTCAAAAGGTATAAAGTAAAGTGAATGAAAGTTTAAATAATGGACTTTCAAACTTTCATTACCGTGTACATTGGCATTTTTACAGGACTAAGACACCAATTCAACAAGGACTGAATATCTTGCAACAGGTAGTAGGCCAGTAGCAGGATTTTATAAACATCAGATGTTAATCTAGCCTGCGTTTATAAACTTCTGACCATTCAATTTTGAAGCTCGTGTATTAGTTCATGAGCATAATCATTTACTCCGCAATAGCTAATGTAGCGTAAACAGACAAAGGAAAATAGAAGGCTTAGAACTATAGTTGTAGCAGCTTAAAATTGATCCAGCTACAGTTGAACGTTTGGCATAGCAAAACCATACATCAAAACACAATTGTAAGAAAAATATTTCACAACCTGTAAAAGCAACTAACAAAATTGAATTTCTTCAAGGTGTAACAAAATCTAGATGTCTATGACCAAGTTGTCCTCACTCGTCATCTGAATCCTCATCGTCATCAGCTCCAGCTGCCGAGTTCAAAGCATTCAACCTCTGTATCAAACTAGCCTTCCTCTGCTCGTAAGTCAATTTCTTCAGGTTGTACCTGTTCAAGACAACATAATTAAACAAAATTAGCTCCAGTAGAACAACGCAGTTTTCTGAATCTTACTAACGTAAAAGAACTACAAGCGTTCAAGTCCTCACCTCTTGTGTGCTTTAGGAGCCTCCTTCTGAGACTTCTTTGCTGTAGGGTCAGCCCTAATAGCAGAATGAACCTTCTTGTACAATGCCTCAAGACCATCTGCGTCAATTCCTGTCTTGATATATTCACTGAAGTGTGACTGGTACTTCTCAGGCTCATCTTCCATCAATGTCTGTAAAAATATATGGTGCAAAACTTAGCAGCTTGGATACGACAAATTTGAAGCACTCACTCACTCAGGATATCTACTTCTCAATTCTCATGCATTTCGTACACAGAGATGAAGTAATAATAAATCAACCATTTAGAAATTGGCAACTGTATTGAAATTAAAATTTATAATACCACATTGTTTCGAGTTTTCAACACTCTCCCTGAGAGGAAAGCCATGCTGAGCATTTCAGTAATCAAACTTTGAAAACTTTTTATCAATATTTTTTTTTTCATTGTGTATGATTAGTCATAAAAAGACCAGAGTTGGAACAAAGCAACAAAAGTTTAGAGGAATCATGAAAAACATTAAAAAGTGGTCTGTAGTATAACAAACAAGCTACAAACTGTAGACTTACCTTCATGTAGCCAGCAACGTGACCACCATAGATATATTTGCGGTGAACATCAGCATCAAGTTGCTTGCCATCCTTGCCAAACCCAGCAAATCGCTTGTCACTGTGAGGAATATCAATTCCTCCATCCAGGGCTCCCTGGCAACAAGACCAAACTAAAGATGAGAAAAATTGAAGAGCATGCTTCTAAATCACTTTAAACAACTTGAACAAATTCATTTTTAATAAAGTATACTGTTTCTGTTAATGGATTTAATTTGGGCATCATAAATAAATTTGACACAATCATTCAATACATAACAATATGAAAGTCTTATGCGAAATCATTGTCTGGAAAATATATGAATTACTCAGTGTGCAAAGAGAGCTAAAATCAAACACAATACCTTCAGTGCCCCAAAAACACGGTTTCCAGTAGTAGTTCGAATAAGACCAACATCAAGGAGAGCACGGAAAGGTCTCCTAGTCTCTGCTGGTTCAACAGAGAAGTCTTCCCCGGTTGCCTGCAAAGAAAGGCCATCATTGGAATCAGATATTAAGTTTATAAAACACATAAATAAAGTTGTTGCTGATGTCCCAAATATATGATATAAAAATAACATATTCTGAAAAGTGTTTCAGAATAAGAATTTTTCCAAACTTTTCTGCAACTAAACATACTGATGGAAGCAATCATGGATCAAAATAAAAATCCAAAAGCCCAGCCTATTTCTCATAAATAAATGAACTATACCTCAACATTTCCTTCATACTCTTGATCCATTTCAAGCATCTTCAAGACCCTTCGAGCCAAAAGAAGGCCAGTGCAGTATGCTAAAGTCATGAAAGGTGAGGTTAAAAACTTATCCTACTTATTAGTTAACAACAATAAACAATGAATAAATAAATGAATAAGCTAACCTGCAGCATAGTTTGTGAGACCAACTTTGAGTCCATACTGAGGAAGCTCGTGGGCATACGCCGAAGCAAGAACTGAGTCACCAGTGATGCTAGCGGAAATGATTTGTGCAATTATGTCTTTGTTTGTCTAATAATAGAATTAAGGATCTTCAAATATACTAAGTAATAGTAAAGTAGAACTAAACATGCACCCAATTAAAACTCACTGTAAGGTGAAAAAAAATGAACAGTAAGGCCTTTGAACAAAATTGATAACTAATGAAAAATTTCATCCTAAGATCTAGTCAAACATTTAGCTCCCAGTACTTCACCAATCAAGAATCATACTCTGAGAATACCAAATAACCATTATATAATGATCTTATAGAAAGCCTACTCCTATGATTTTGATTGATCAAGGATCTTCAACAAAAAAAAAAGTTAAGCCAAGATTGGAAGATTGTAATAAAATAAATCACAAATAAAATTAACATCAACGAATAATCATGTTCATGGCCAACATGATAAATCAATAAAGGCGACTAATGTTTAGTCCCATGACTCGTTGAGAGTGCATACAACATTCAAAGGCCATGCATTAGAATTAAACTATAGTCAAGATAGAAGCACATTAGCAACAAGCTTAATCAGGCAAATTGGATTTAAAATTCGAAAGATAAGGATACAAATCGCACAACGAAACGATACTTGGGAGTATTGTACTTGTTCTTGTCCTGATTAATCAGGCGATTCCTGGCCCTATAATCAGTCTTACCCTCTGCAAAACACACAGAAGATGGAACACAGCTCAATAACCCGAAGCACAACCGACAAAACAAAATGCTCGAAACAATCATCAAACAAACAACATACCACGCCTTCTCTTGAATTTAACTTGAAATCGCTTAAAGTAAGCTCTTGTCTTTTGAGCTTTCACGAATGCCTGTACAAATCAATTAATATCAGCACAACTTATTTCATTGCAAAAACATCTAATTTTCCTATTACTTTATCAATTACATTGTAAAAAGCCAGCAAATTTAGCTCATAAATTATCAACCAGTTGCAATCATGAAGCAATTCCATTGTGCAATGTGCATCTCTTCACTATATATAGATAATAACAATTATTACACGTTGATCAAATTCAATGGCCAGATTTCTAAAAAAACCAAAAATGCGCATCAATCAAACATAAGAAATGTAGGGTCTTTTTTTTTTTACAAAAAAAATGGGTTCATGAATTTACACAATTTAAGACCCCCAAAAATGAAAACTTAGAAAATATATATTCTACGCTCCATTAACAAAACTATATAAAAAAGATTTAATCTTCATAGAAATTAAGATGGGAATGTTCAAAAATCCAATTCAGAAGTAATTAAGCAACATAAAGTGTTCATTTTCATATTCTAAAAAGCAATTTATAAGTGATTAAACAGCATTAACAGATTAATTATTGAAAGTAGCATTAACATGAAAAAACCAATCAAGAAAAATAAAATTGACATGGAACGTAGATGGTAGAAGAGAGGACGAAGAGGGTTACCATGGTTGAGCGCTGGAAAAATGAGAGAGACGAAAGAGAGAGAAAGGGAGTGAAGCAGAAAACGGAGGTGTTGATATACCTACCCACTTTAAACCCTAAACTTCATTTTTATTTGGGCCTAAACCCAATCCATTCATTTAGTAAGCCCACCTTGAAATTTAGTGGATCGATGGGCTGTTTTATATTAGGGCCATTGCATGTCAAAGATAAATTAATGCCAGTATAATCATTTATCCGTTTTTTTTAGTTGACATGTTTTCATAATTATTCCCTCCGTTTTTAAATACTTGCTCCACTTTTTTTTTCCGGTCATTTTTAAATACTTGCAAGAGAGGTTATTGTTCAACCATCTAGACTGCTTTAATCTTACACAATAAATAATATGAAGTGTTATACTATAAAGTATTGAAGACACATACTACATACACAGTGTTAGATACTCTTTGAATTAGCAATTGCACAACTATAAAAGTAGTAACCCGGTGCAATGCCCGAGCTACTCACTAGTTTTTTTTTTTTTTTTTTTTTTAAAAAAAAAATCATATATATATATGATTTTGGGTCAAATGAGAAGGATTTTTTGTGCATATTTTTTGAACTAAATGTGTAAAAATATATGTATTTCATATATATTGTGCATAAATGTCTCAAATGCTTAGATCATTTACTCTGGTCAAATTAGATTAGATGGATCAAATAAATTCAAATTAAATCAAACAAGTGAAAATAATGTGAACTAAACCGAGTGATTTCCCTAAATAATGCTAAAATACAAATTATTTTCCTATATAAGTCGGTTTAAAAACTATTGCCCACAATACCGTCCACGTGGGATTGATTCCTAGGGTTAGAATTTGGTAGTATAGAACCAATAATAGCCTAATACCAATAGAGGTTCTATATACAGAATCGCTAATACCATTAGAGGTTTTATGCATAGAAACTCTACTTTAACTTTCACAAGGTGTTAGAGGTTTTACGTAAAGAACCTCTAATAGTATTAGAGTAACTATATTAGTTAAAACCGCCAATAATGTTACCGGTTTTATAATCACAAATAACGACCCGTAAAACCAAGCTCTTAAAACCTTTTTATTTTGGATCACATAAATCCTCCCTCCTCTAGTCCGGTTGTAGCAAAAGGCAAATAAACACCCTCCTTACATTCTTTCTTCTTCACCAGCAGGCTTCAGTACAGGCTAAAGGCTTACATCCTCTACTCCCTCGCTCACGACGTTGTATCTGGTATTTCCTAATCACTGCTTTAAAAGATGTAATCTTTTCAATTTTCAATTTTATCATGCTGATTTTAAGTTCTCAAATGCTTCTATTCCAGTTTTCTTGCACATTGTAGTATTGACTTTAAAGAATTTGTGAGTCATTTTGATGGGGTTGTTCTGAAGTTGCATTTTTGATAGAATTTTGTTGCAAGATAATTCCAATAATTTCTTGATTTTCAGCTTTTAATTTATTTTGGGAACTCTCAATTTGATCATCTGTGTTCAATTTTGTGTCAAATTCTACAAAAAATGCTTAATTTTGTTGTGATTTTTGGCACTGAAATTTGATAAATTTAATAGCTTCTTCTCTTAATAGAGCTGATATTGGCCTTATTCTGATTTATTTTAATCCAAAATGTATGATTAATTGTAGGTTATTGTGACTTTTGTGAGATGCAACCTTTCTGATTTTATTGATTGGTAGCAACATTTTTTGGGTTCAATTGATTTTGTTTGAAGTTAAGTGTAACGGAGGATTCTGAGAGTTATAGTTTGACATTGAATATGGATCTCCCTGATGATTGTGTTAATGTAATTGATGATTCTCAAAGTGATAATTCCACTACTATAATGGATCTCCCTGATGATTGCCTTGTTTTCATCTTCAAACGGCTTAGTGACGAACGTGACCGAGAAGTGTTTGGACTAACCTGCACTAGGTGGCTAGACATTCAGAATCGAAATCGAAAGTCCTTACAGTTTGATTGCTCAATTACCTACACTAGGCAGCTCTCAAGAAAACCGCATAAGATTGATAAACATGACCTTCATAGGGCATTGTCTCGTTTCCCTTACCTACGTTCACTATCCTTATCCGGGTGTACTGAGCTACCAGATTCTGGTCTTAAGCTTTTACAAAGCTTTGGTTCGAGTTTACGAGCCCTTCATTTGGATTGTTGTTTTGAGATCACAGATAATGGTCTTTCATTCGTAGCAAGTGGGTGCCCTTTGTTGATATATATTAGTCTATATCGTTGCAATATCACTGATGTGGGTTTGAAAAACTTGGCCAAGTCTTGTTTGGGTTTGGAAGATGTTAATCTTATGTATTGTTTGGGAATTACCGATCATGGCATCAATGGTCTTGTTCAGAATTGTGCACACCTTTATGGCATCAGAATCAGCAACTGTAGGGGCATAAAGGGTGTCGGATTTCATGGGTGCTCCCAAACATTGGCTTATTTGGAAGCTGAATCTTGTAAGCTTGAGCCAGAAGGAATAGCAAGTATGGTGAGCGGGGGTGGTCTCGAGTATCTAAACATCTCAAATCTTAGCTGGTCGATTCGTGGAGATGGATTATCAGCAATTGGGGGAGGGTTTGCAAAAATGCTTCGGGTTTTGAATATGAGATTATGTAGGATGATAAGGGATGAGGGTGTTGCACTGATTGCAAAGGGGTGTCCATCACTGGTGGAGTGGAATTTAGCATTGTGCCATGAGATTAGAGTTGCTGGGTGGGAGTCAATTGCCTTGAATTGTCACAATTTGGAAAGACTGCATGTAAATCGATGTCGAAATCTATGTGATCGTGGATTAGAGGCCTTGAAGAATGGTTGCAAGAAACTCACTGTTTTGTATATGAATGGGTGTCCTCAAATTAGTACACTTGCAATTGAATTGTTTAGGCTGTCAAGAGGTGATTCTATCAAAGAAGAAGAAATATTAACAATTGGTCCAAAATGGCAATTTTGGTGGCACCAAAGAATTTACATGGAGTAATTTTGGTAACTGTAGTCTGTAGGTCATCCTGGCTTCGAACGTTGAAGAATTTGTATCAGTTTTGGCTATTGTTATACACTTATATGATACGTATACACATACAGAGTTACAGACATACTGCATACATAAATTTTTCCTTGATTTGATTATTTTGAGGTCATGTCAATTACTAACATACAATTGGGACAATATCTCTTACAGTCTCACTACATCTCAATATTTCTTTACTACAAGTTCACATTTGGCCATGCAACAAGCGTGCACATTGTGTAAATGTCAACTAGCTTGATTAACGAAGTCATGTGTTGTATTATCCATGACCAAGTATCAAATCTCGTCCATAACACCCCCCTTATGGATTCTTTACACCCCAAGATAATAGGCATGTGAATTGTAATATAGGCTTGAAACTGATCTGCAAATGCTTAAAGATTGTCTTGCTTTACCCTGAATAATTATTTTTCAAACAAAAATGAAAACAGACTAAGCCAAATAGTACACAAAATAATAACATAATTATATTGATACTTTACTGATAGAAACAAATTTAACTGTCAGACTAAATTCTGGTCAAAATACACGTGAAAGATATGAACTTTGATAAGGGAAACTGGGGGCTGAGCATTATCAACAGACAAAAGGTTGAGCTCGAGTAAACACGAAATTCCCTCCACCTCCAACTGCACGACCCAAGAGCATGTTGTTATCCAAGTAGGAAAGGTAATATAATCCCCCTACTGATCGCCTGAAATCCCAACAAATCAAATGTCAGCAAAATTTCAATTGAGAAGAAAAAACCTTAATTTCTGAACACATCCATATGTACTAAAAAGTACCTCTGAGGGCTTGTGCTTGTTACAGGAATCTGAGCTTTGAAGGAACGGAAAAACTGCAGAATCTGCAAACAGCCATTACCATGACATTCAGCATACATGTATGCTTTGAATGAAGCTCAGGATATTATCATAATTCATAACAGCTTGTACTTAAATGTGGAGATCAACGTTACAAATAACTAAGATAGGTGAAAATGTTGTTGGAAGGTTGACTCAAGAAATTGACAACTAATTTTGAGAGTAAAAAAAAAAAGGTGTCACTCTAATAGACTAGCAGAGCTGGATTTTTTACACTGCAGATGGATTGTTATTTGAGACGCGAGGTGGGATTAGGTCAAGTTAAGCGAAAAGCACTCAGAAGCTAAATATGATCAGCTATTAGATGACTGTCAGACATCAAGCATTTTAGACAGCGTAAAAGCATAACTAATCAGAAACACTATTAGCAATACTCTAAATGGATAGTGAGGCTGAAAGCTGAAACAAATGAAAACTGTAGTCAATTTACTGATATTGTGGTTAATGAAGGAGTACTTGGGGATTTTACTAGAAAATTCTTACCACCAATCCAATAGAGCAGCTATTGGTTGGCTTCTTGGCTAACAAGGTTGCTGAAAAAGTTAGCAATGACTGTAATCCACGGACCACTATCAGGATAGGCAAAATTATAAACATCTTTGAAGGGAGCCCAGCCCCGTTTAGTTAGCATGTAATCAGTTTGTGACTTGGCCATCATTTGCGCGCACACACACACGCGCACGCGCGTGCATACACGCACACAATAGGCACAGCTTCTAAACTTGAGTTCTATGACCAACACATTGATACAAAACCAATAGTTATGGGTGTTAAAATTGACTACCTGTAAGCTTAAAAATGTTCTTGGTAAGAGTGCTGGAGCTATAACAGCTTGTACCTGCTCACTTATGGAAATGTCTTGAAGAGTGATCTGCCAGAAAGATATTCATTTTCAGACATCAGAATATGGAAGTTCAAAAAAATGCATTGACAAATACATAATTACTGTATCTGAAGCGATGAGAGGCACTAAGATACATCAGTTTACATAAAGAGGTCAACAACTAACCTCTTCAAACTGAAGATAGATATTGCGACGTGAAACCACTGAAAACTTGGCAGAAACGAGCAAGGTAGCACCTTCATTTTCCTAGCAATCAAAGGTAGATTACTGGATTTATTACTTACAATGTGATGTTTAAACAAGTACAAAACGGTTATGTAACCTGCTCTCTCAAAATACAACAATAATAAGAAGATAAATGCAGTGCATAGTTTAATAAGGGATTGTAAAAGAACTTCAGCTGATATGATTCATGTTAGTCAATTACTAAGTATAGCATAAGCAGTACAGAGCATAAGTATCAATATCAGCTTAAAATCCATCTTTTAGTTAAAGGAAGTATATATTATAAGAGTCATTGCAGTGATTTGAGTTGTATTCAAAGGTTGGGTTCCTCAATGGGAATTCCACGATGACAGAAAACTCTAATTACAGTCCTTCCAACAATGTCCAGGTATGCTAAGAATTAACTTAGCTTGGACAGAATAAATAGATGTGTGGAGATTAAGGGAAGTAGATGAAGCTTGATTGATTAATTTATGGAGGATAGTTACAAGATTTTGAGAGGATCACTTTTCCTCAAAATGTAAAGCAGACTAAAATGAACTCTCAATAATACACTGCATGTTTTTCCATTCTCTAATTTGCGCTATACATAGTGCCTTTGTTTTTTCTTCTCAATAACTACTTATCTTATACTTCAAGCCACACTAAAAATTGAATTGTAATGCTTAGTACCTAAAGGCTCTTCCCTTGTATTGATGCTTAACAAGATAATCCAAAAGTGCATAGTACAGCTGCAATGAACAAATGTCAAGATGTAAACAAGAAGCAAGTGAAATTCACCTCTAGTAGGTTCTGAATGCTCCACTTGATTATATTACGGACAACACCACCATCAGATTGATTACAGCATTCAAATTTCTGGTAAATCTGACCCACCTATCATCACACCAACAGACAACCACCACTGAAAAACAAGAATATGTAAGACACAAATGTTAATTGTATAAAATAATTTCCATAAGGGATTTTAATTTTTTTGAAATAGTCTTGCAAGATAATGGACACGATGCCTTCACAATGACAAGCATTAAAAAAAGGCTTCAAAGGTTGCGTGTTGTGTCAGTACCTGTAGAATCGGAAGTCTACTAGCAGCTTCAAAAAGGACGACAACATCAGGAGCAGAAGTATACTGAAGACGCCATGTACCATCCAGTTTTGCCAAATCAATTGGCTCACCAGCATCATATTTCTCTACAGTCACCTGAATTTATATAAGAAACTGTCAAGTTAACATCATTTAACCAATTTTGCCTAGCCAATCCCTTCAATATAAATCATGTAAGGAATTGATGTTAGAAAAAGCCCAAGTAATAATGGATATACATACTAGTGCCTCCTCAATGGAAGACCGTTGGTCAGGCGTTGTTTTGAGCCCCCTTTCTGTCTCTTGAATTGCTCTCAACAAATCATGCTTTTTATTCTCTACCTCATATGACTGAAAAGCCAAAAGGATAAAAATGAATTTTGGTCAATGTGGCCAAGATACTGAACAAAAAACTATCATTTACTATTGTAAAGTTGGCAAAAGTATATTCACCAAGGAAGTATCAGTAGCAGTAGCAGTAGCCGAGCATTGCCAGAGCGATTTGTTACGGAGATTTCTTGCAACACTTGGAATTGTTACTTGTGAAGTTCTCCCGTCGTGAACTATTTTGTAAGCTGGAGCATATGTTAAAGGTGCCATGACAAATGCCATACTGCACTGAAGGAACAAAATTTTGTCAGTCACCTATATACAGGACTGAACAACCTAAATCAACCATCGAGTACTAACCAGTTTCCACTAATTACTTGATTAACTTATAACAACCTCGGAGCTCTAAGGCATATAAGGATCGGCCTATTAATTTGCATTCCCATTTTAAAATCTCTAAATCAATTTTCTAGATATATCTACATACTACTCCGTATGTGACTGTATATAAGTGTATTACCAGATTTTTTATGTGTCAGCAAAAATGTGCAGCAAACTATAAAGTGAAATATTGGGCTGATAATTAAGAGTTCCATCCTAAAATTAGTCAAGAAATTATAAATTGGCAAAATATAAAACTTTGAACAAAATTAATCAATGAGCAAATATAAACAATCTAAAGTAACCCATATAATTAATTTATGCTCATCCATCAATCCATCATTTAGATTGAGTACTTTAAATGGGATGTCCGGATTGATCTGCATAATTAAGCGCTCATAATCAAATTCCAGATTATTATGCAAAAAAAAATTGATTTTATGCAAGATAAACAAATTTGGCAATTACATTTGCACTTGCAATAGATTCCTAAAATGTCAAATAATCAAAGTTTGAAATCGAACAAAACCCTACAAAAATGGAAGGACCGAAAAAAATACCTAGTTTGAAGGCTGAGTTCAGACTGTAAGTGGCCAACAAACAAGCCAACAATGCAGCAGATGAGCAATTGAGTGGATAAATAAAAGCAATGAGTCACTAGATTTTGAGCAAAGCCACAGTAGTTTTTGGTTTTTATTATTTCTGCATCGGTTTGTCTAACATGCACCCGTGCGCGCGTGGGCTTGTTGAACGACGTAGTAAATGAGATTGAACACAAACATATATAAATTCGTTCAAATAAATTCATAAACAACTCGTTTATTTATATCCACGAACGACCTAAAGTGCTTTTATGTTAGAGCTTTGACATATTAATATAGTCATGTAAGATGTTATTAGTCGTCCCATTGATTTGATATCAAGCTTTTACAAAAATGAAATCATATAGTCTTAACAATTAACCCTTAAGTAATACTTGGTGACATCTTTAGGGTAGGTGAGTTTACCCTTTTACTTGTGAGCTTTCTCCATTAATAGTGAAGGAAGAAATATGCCATCCATTTTTGCTACTTGCAGCCAAACGCTAAGAAACAGTAGGCAATTGTTGCTTCCAGACAAGTGGCTAAAAGTACAAGTCCAGCTGGCAAATATATTGTTAAAAGGCAAAACCTAATGAGCGCCCCAGGACGTTAGATAAGAGAATTAAAAGTGGGAATATTAGAGTAAAATTAACATTAATTACACCAAACGACGTGTGATTTTGTCATGCATTCCTAACTTAATATCATTTCAACCAATATAATTATTCCTTATCTAACGTCCCGGGGCGCTCGTTAGCAAGATCGTTGTTAAAAAAATGAATTGTACTCATTTTATTTACCAATTTGCCACCAGATTAACGAAATTAGTTGATCTTGGTTATCAACTTGGATTTATACAATTATACATGCATAGTAAAATACGAGACTATCCCAATTAATCTCCCGTGATAAACAAGTTTTGTTTGCTTATCACGGTGTAAAACCACTACCTTTAGTAGCGGCCTCAAATAGCAGTTTTAACTTTTAAGGCAAAACTGCTACCTTAAGTAGCGTTTTACCCATTTTCACCGCAAAAAGTACGCTTTTATCCCTGACTCCTTGTGATAAACAGTAAAGATGTAAAATTCACCATCCTAAAAATGCATTGAACATCAAATTACTATATTACCCTCATATGTGTTTAAGCCCATGCGCCCAGATGCACTCTATTCAAATGGGATGTTGTTTGAAGGAAGGTATTGACGCGCACACCTCTGTGTGTATCTTCTCAATTGAAATCTCCATTAAAGAGTGAGCTTGTGCTTCCTCCGTTGAAGCAGCCACTGAGGTAATTTGCTTTTCTTAATCTTCATTTATCAGTTTCACAATCTAATGATCATCAATTTAATTCAATTTTGCGTTTTTCTTAGGTGGATTGATTATTGAACTTTTGCTATAATTAGATTACTGAAATGCTTGAATTTTGCTACTGCTATTCATTTTCGATTTTAATTTTGATAATTGAATCAAATGTGGTTGATAATATGTTGCAAATTCCTTGAATTTTGCGACGGAATTATGAATATGGAAAATTTCTTCCTGATTATTAGCACATTTAGGAAATCAAAGTTGTATAATTGATGGGAATTTTTGTCCTGCAAACCCTAAAATTTAAAATCCTTGATTATGTTGTTATTTGGGTTTTAGGGATTTAGGGAAGATTAAAATCTGAGAGTCATCTCTTGCTATGGAAGATCATAATGCTGCCTCAAACCCAACCTCAATGTGTGACCAATCTGTTGATCCGGCGCTTCAGAAGAAGCGTCAAGCAATGATTGATCGCCTTTCTAACCGCCACCAAGCTCGTGTCCGGAGCAAAGAGTCGGATTCGTCTCCATCATTCGAGTCCACTGATTCATTTCTTGCTCAGTTTTCTGACCTCCAGCAATCAATTGTGTCTGAGATTGACAAAATTGAACAAGCCCCTGAGTCTTTTGCCGAAGGGGACCTTGATAATGTCTCTGCTTTAATCAATGATATTGAGAAGTTGCTTGCAGAAAATACCTACCATTTGCCTTCCTATGACGTTCGTGCCTCTCTCAAGACTATCTCTGACTTGAGAGAGTCACTTGATAAGGTGGCAGTAAAACTGGTTCCGAAGAAGAAGTTTTCTTTCAAAACCAAAGTTGCAAAGCAGAATCAAAAGGCCATTGTTGAGGAACAACCTGAAGTGGTAGCTTCTGGTGACAAATCTTGTATTGTGTTTGATACTCCGGGGTTTAAGAACAGGGAAAAAGAGGTTCTGGTGGAAAATTTGAAGGGGAAGGACATGGGGGAGTTTACATTGTCAGACCTTGATTCTTGTGAGGCGAGGATTATAGGTAGGCCAAGGGCAATATTCATCCATCGGTTAAGGAATTGCAAGGTTTATGCAGGGCCTGCTCTGGGTTCAGTACTGATAGATGATGTTGAAGGGTGTGTTTTCGTATTGGCATCGCATCAGATAAGGATTCATAATGCTAGAAAATGTGACTTTTACTTGAGGGTTCGGAGTCATCCCATTATTGAGGATAGTAGTGAGGTGAGATTTGCTCCCTATTGTTTGCAATACGATGGGATTGAGGAAGATTTAAGGGAGTCAAGACTTGATGAGGAGACTGGGAGTTGGGCAAATGTTGATGATTTTAAGTGGTTACGTGCTGTGCAGTCCCCTAATTGGTCCATCCTTCCGGAAGATGAACGAATTAGCTCATTTCATGTATCAATTTCCGATAGCTGATGTGCACTGTGCAGAATGGTCCTGTTGTTATTTACTTCAAGTATGTTCAATACTTTGATTTTGTAGCATTAATGTTATTTCAAACCAAAATATTGTATGGCTTTTCATAATGTTATAAAATTAGCTTGACATGTTTCCATGAATACATGATGTCTACTTTTGGTCATCCATTAACTTGTTTGCTTATTTGCAGCTACTTCTTTTATTCATATATTGTTAATGCAACCTTGCTACCTATAATGAGGGCTTTATGATTTTTACTTGTTAATGAGCTTTTAAGCCTTGTAGTAGTCATTTCTAGAAGTGGTAAAATATTGTGCTTCATTTTCCTGACTTGTTTGCTCTGAATCTAGCCCACATTTCCCCCCAGTAGATGCTGATGGCATCAAGAGCTTGCTTAGGCTTTTGTCAATATGGGACTTGTTCAGGCTTAGCTGTGTGTGTCATTGTCTAATTGTCATTGAGAGGGTTATATTGCCTTAAGTGGAAAATATAAAATCTTAAGAGGAATATTGATCTTGTTCCATTTCTATAGCCCCATAGAATGGAAATATTGGAGTCAAGGACGTGTAAAGTCGCGGTAAAGATTATAGGCAGATGTGTAACGGAAAGAACCGTAATCTAATGGTCAGAAACATATGTGAAAAGCATACAATACATTCATGAAAGAAATGAATGGTGAATTTTGATCTATGTTAAACAAACACTGTAAAAAAAAAAAAAAAAAATCCTATCTTATCACTCATCAAAAATAAGTATATCTAGAATTTGTCCTGCAATTTTTAGTTCCAAGCCATACATCATTATCTTTGTCTCCATAATCTGATTTCTAGGACAATAGCCACAATAACCATAAGTGCAAGAATCACTGCATAGGTACCATACCAACTAGAGCCCTCCATACCCAAACGAATACCATAAAATATGTTTGAGATAGCGAAGATAACCAAGATTCTTCCTGCATTATGATGGTACCAATTCCAGTATTTCCGTGGTTTTGTGCCTTTCTTTGGTCTAATCAACAGAGCCATTACCTGCACAAAGTAGAACAATTTTATATCTTCAATCTTTATTCACTGTCCCATATTTAAAATTTTATGTTCCAGGCAGATGTAAATGTATATGAATCTTACCTGAAAGCAGGCAAGTATCAGAATAAGGATACCAATGTTCTTGTGGTGTGTTACTTCTGCTTTTATAAAATCCTTCACCACAAATCCTAAGATGAAGCCGACTAGTCCAAATAGGAAACTGAAAATCTGGATTGCAATGTGAGAGTAAAACCAGATTGGATCCCATTGCCTGAAGTACCTTGCAACAATTGCTCCAATTGGCATCAAAATTCCCCATCCTATCATATTTAAAGCACCATGGGTCCGTTTTATTCCTGTGTACAGGCTGCTCTGTGTCTGACTTTTTCCTGATACACATATAAAAGAACCAGAATGGTTTATCAGCTAATAGGTTTTTCATGTAATTGGTCTTCCCTTGGCTAATTTCTACATGGAGAGCATGTTGTCATTAAAGAACTAGCTGTTGACATTTTCTAAAAGAGCTGATGGCTGATACTTAGATGGCGTCAGTAGATTTGCTAGTGAAGGTTGATCGGGATATTATTCTATATATCATAATGCAAGTAGAAGTTGATGAGAGAATATTTTGGGTTCTATCATTCTATGAACGTGGCCTCTACTAACCAACTGTACTTTCTCTCTTTCTTTTTCTGTCTGTCTGCATTTTTTCCTTTTTTTTCCAATGAATTTCTGTTGCTGTTTCTTTTGTTTCAATGTCAACTCATCTATCGTTCTCTATCTTAATTCATTTCTGTGCGGAATTGATCATGAGCAAATTGTTACATGAAGTCATGAAGGAATCTCCCTTTGACGAAGTAACCAAATAACCATTTATAAATCTGTTCTGATCTCATATAAATGAGTAACATTTCTGAGCTTTACCTGTAGTATAGTCCAATGAGGCTGCGCTCATCTCTCGGTGCTCCATCAACTTTAAGCCGTTAGGCAACTGGCCGTAGGGCCCCAGAGCATAGAGCAGTTTTTTTTCGAGGCTCAACTGTATTTATCTGGAAAGCCAAGTGTATGCGATTTGCATCTATAAACACTGTTGATGAGTTATCCACCACACTGAGGTCACCTGCATCAGGCAGCACCTTGTCAGGTTCTGTTCCCTGCAAGTCATACTGCTTGACGACGCCTGTTCCATTTTGGTACATCCAGCCCACCATCGCACTGGACCCGACCATCTGCCCATCGGTAGAGAAACCAATCCCAAGCCACGTCTTTGTGTCTGGTGCTGAGAGCAGGAAGCTCCACAACTGTGGTCCTGCTTGTACATACTGAGAAGCAAGAAAAAGAGTAATTTTGAGACCTTGGCCCAAGAGGTATGAACCAAAAATAGATTTATGACCAATCTATCAGGGAAATTGTATCAACAATGCAGAATTATGACCTGAAATTAGTTGTCAAAAGCTAACCCGACCTGAAATACTGACCCGAACCCGATTATTAACCGACCCGTCTGAACCCGAAAAAATGGTGACTCAAACCCGATCTAACCTGACTTGAAACCAACCCTAGACCTGAGTTAATCCAATTATTTGAGACCCAAACTCGAACATGAATCGACCTGGAGATGACTCGACGCGAATATAACCCGTAAATTATTGGCTTGAATCGAACCCAACCTAAACCGAATTGACCCAAACTTGAACCGAACCCGACTTGAACCGAAATTATAAGCTCGAATTTAAACTTATCTAAAATTATATATCTTGCAATAAATGAAGTAATTGATAAAGATTAAACGTGAACGTCATTACATGAACAGTTAACACCGACCCAAAAAATATATTTGAACTCGATATGACCTGACCTGAAATCAACCCGAAACCCAGATTAACTCAATATTTGAGACATGAACCCGAATATAACCCGACTTGAAAATGACCTAACTTGATTATAACCCACAAATTATTGACTTGAACCAGACCCGACTTAAACTCGAACATGACTCGACTTGGAAATAACCCGACCTGATTGTAACCCGCAAATTATTGACTTGGAACCGAACCCGACTCAAACCCGAGAATGACCCGACCTGATTATAATTAGCAAACTATTGACTTGAACCAAACCCGACTCGAACCCGAGAATGACCCTAACCCGTTTTACCCCATGAAAACCCAAATTAAACCCGACCTATTATTTACCCAACCCGAATGTAACCCGACCTAGACCTGACTCAAACACGATAAGATGTATGACCCGACTCAAGCATGACCCAAACTGAACTCAACCCGCATAGGTTACGGCATTAACCCAAATTTACCCGACCCGAGGTGATCCGACCCGTTTACCCGAATTGACAGCTCTACCTGAAACCTGTATGAATTGAATCTAAGCGTCACCAAAAGGGTTCAAAGCTGGTATAAAATGGGCTTGACCTGAAATCTGACCTAAGAATACGGGGTTCTAATCTGTAAACTTGCGAATCTGCAACTGTAATCAGTTGATCTGAAACGGGTTATTTAAAACAGGTTGAGCTACATCCTACAAATTGAGCCAATGACGGTTTATGCAAGAAGTTGAAACTGCCTTTTAGATGTGATAGTTTAATTGCTTTCCTAAGGAGGTTCTTTATGCTTCCCTATTGACATATTAAAGTGTTGTTGGCTTCTGGCTAGCTGATCAATTGATAAACATTATTATGGATGACGGGGTTTCGAAACTTACCCGAAGAACAACGCCTGTGTTGGACTTCCAGACAGTCTGGCAGAACATGGCAGTGGTATCAAAATTGACAGCTTCATTGTAGTCTATAACGCTGTTGCAGGGTTCTGCATTCTGTGACAGCACCAGCAAAAACAAATTCAGGAAAAAGGCGGTGAAAGCCACCAGTTTCATCTCTGTGTGTTTGTTATTTTGAAGGATTATCTGTTATATGGTATTTTGGTTACTTTGAATCAAGGCAATGTGGTAGGTAACCTTCTCTACTACATGGACTTGTTAGCCAGTTGACCATGTATGTTGTCACCCAGTTTGTGGTTTTGATGTCTGTGTTATAAAATATACTTACTATTTAGTATAATATATAGTTGTATGTATAATGATGGAGAGGTGGTTTGATATAGTATTCACGCTCAACACTTGGAAATGATATTCTTTTTTTTTTGGAAATGATATTCTAATTACCCATCTTTATCTGTATGTTACGCTACACGTATCTTTGTATTTGTTTAAGTCTACTAGCCTTTTCTGTGTTGCTGAAAAGTTTAGACTCATTCTTGATTCATGATTGTGTTTGTTCTTTCAACTGCAGGACTTCTGTTTGCAGTCACTTAAGATTGGAATCGTAGCGTTCGAGTCATGCTTAGTTTGGAAAGTCGGTGATCTGGGGTTGAGTGGTGTTCATGTATGTAAATGTATTTTTGTGGCTTCTCTAGAGATCCGATACAAAGTAAAAATCTAGAGATCCATTGTAGATGCTATGTACGATTGCTATCGTATGAAAAGCTAAATTTTCATAATATTTTTTTCCTCGACCAAAAAGCTAACCAATATTTTATCGATATAATAGACTTTGAATCATCTAAAATTAATCGTACAATTACACAAGTATTAGATGATAATGCTGAGAGACAAATCATCTTAGTATTGACTAAATAGCAAGGATGTTGGATGACATTGATTAGAGGCAAAGTCAATCTGGCATTAAGTGCTTTGCTGAATAAAAAAAAAAAAAAAAGTGGTACAAGTATATATTTTGTTCATATGAGAGAGGGTGGTTAGGTAACAAGGAATTTGAATTAGAGTAACAAAACATAACAACAATCTACAGCACGTCATACATAGGACATAGAAAACTTGTTACAATAGTAACAACACAAAACTCCTTAAAAAATGAAAAGAAAAGAAAAATAAAACCCAACAATACATGTAATTTTCAATTTTAACTACATACGATACAAAGTATTAAACAAAGTCCTTACATCACAACCTCAAATGTATTGCAATGCTGACATTGAATGTACAGCGCGGTTAGATCAAATACAGTCTCGATACAGAACTCAGGTTTTAATCGGCAGCCTCTATCAAGATGTTCTTCAAGAGCTTCTGCTAGTCGATCTTTTAACAAGCTCAAATTAACCTATG